AACTGCTGCAACCTCCCTAGCGTGAGGGGAACTATGATCCTGCCACCGCCAAGCAATGCCGTTAGCTGCACTACCCTCTCGAGATCGATCAACTTCCCTTTCTACAGTTCGCTTAGGGCAGCTGGCTCGAAGATGGCCCCTTTCCCCACAACTATAGCACCTAGGGCTGTATCCTTTGTTGCGGTCGCGAACTGTAGCTGCTGCAACCACCCCGATGCGATGGGAACGATGATCCTGCCGCACGTCTTCCACCTCCAGTGCATGGGTCAAGGCGTCCTTAAGCGTCTCGTGGTGCCCGAGCCTCACAGCAGCTCTGACTTCCAGGTCGCGGATGCCGTCGATGAATGTCTGCACCAGGTTCCCTTCAATGAGCGCAGGTACAGACCGGTATGCTTTTCGCGCCAGCTTCTCCACCTCTAGAGCCCACTGCTGCAGGTTTTCGTTGATGCGCTGCACGCGATCTTTAAGCTGCGCACGAAAGACGTGATCCAATTGAGCGTCGCCATATCTCGCCTCCAATGCCTGAAGGAGTTGCTCATAAGTCACTTCCTCAGCGAGAGCTTCCAGAACTGTTAAGGCCTGGTCGCGCAGGCCTAGTGTGAGAGCAGTCATGGCCTGACTTTTATTCCTGCCGTTCGCCTCCATGACAGCCTCGAACTGGATTTTATAGGTTGACCAGGAAGAAGTCCCGTCGAACGGCGAGCATTTTGAACCCACGTATCGTAGGTGTTGGAGCTACTACGGGAGCTGTAATTTCATCCCCCAGTTTGAAGTCGTCCAGCGTTTTCTTCACGTCTGCCATCACGTTGTCAACCCCATTGTTCACTTGGTTGGTTCTGGTTTCAGCTTTCTCAATTCGGGTTTCAGCTTTCGCGATTTGGGTTTCAGCTTCCAACAGGCGGTTGTCATGCTGATCAACCCTATCCTTCACCTCCTTTATCTCCTTCCCGAAGGTAGCGTGAAGGTCCTTCATGAGGAGCATCTGCTCTTCCAACCGAAGGGCCTGTTCCTCTTGTCCGCCCCACAGCTGCTCTTCCAAAAGACGGGCCTGTTCCTCTTGTCCGCCCCGCAGCTGCTCTTCCAAGCGACGGGCCCGTTCCTCTTGTCCGCCCCGCAGCTGCTCTTCCAAACGACGGGTCTGTTCCTCTTATCCGCCCCGCAGCTGCTTTTCCAAATGACGGGCCTGTTCCTCTTGTCCGCTCTGCAGCTGCTCTTTCAACTGATGGACCTGTTCCTCCTGTCAGCGAGCCTGCTCCTGCAGCATCACCATCAGATAACCTAAGTCAGGTGCTGCAGGTGCTGTAGCTAATGCTGCAGTAGCTCCTACTGACGGGCCTGCAGCCGGCGGCTGGCCCTCCGACGTCTGCGGCGTTGCACCACCATATCTTCTTTGGTCCGTCTCCTGCTTGCGTTGACTTCGGGTACGGACACCCTCCGTTTCCTCCTTAGGTAAAATCGGCATGATTTTATCCCACTACTGACACCAATTGTTACGAGCTTAGGGTTCGTGACAGTAAAAATTGATGATAGAATTACCAAAATTAACACTTTAATTCACTTTACACTAATTAAAACTTAAAAGACACTAATAATTAATCACACTGATTCACTTTATTTCGCTCCGAAGCTTCGCTTGTCTCGCCAAATTCAATACTACCCCGATCGCGTATTGCAGCGCCTTTAAATACGCCTTTTCATCGAAACATCCCGAATATTCAAGTAAATACACGTGCCAATCGACCAAGCGCTGAAAGTTCGAGTGTAGGGCTTCCAGAAAGCTTAGTTCTTCAATTCGATACTAGATGGCGCTGTTGGTTAAAATATTAGTCATGTCATTTTCTGGAAAGCTCTCCTCGCTCTCGTCCCTGACACTAGATGGCGCTAGTTCCGGCTACATGACGTCAACTTAGGCGCGCAACAATATGGTTGACCTGACGGTAAGTGGATGCTGCGGCTCAGCCATCTTCATCTATCCTCGATAAAGAATCAAAATACACATGCGTTGGCACTCCTCAGGACTAAGATAGATGCCTCGTTTCCAGTGAAAAGGGTCTCCAGTTCGATATATTCAAAACATGAATTATTATATTATAGCAGCAGTTAAGGTGCCATTTTATGTTGGTATTCTGTGAGAGCGTGGTCCTTCACTACACATATATCTCATAGCTGCAGTATGGTTCTACCACATTTAAATTAGATGCTACTTCAGTTTATATCTTTAAAGCGAGAAATATCAAATGTAAACTTATATTGTATTGTCTACAATGTTGTTAAGACATAAATGAGAACTCTCAATATAACCCTACCCTAACCTAACCCTGAATCTTTGGTTTGAAATAATGCTCTGTCTACGTGGTTCATTTTTCTTGAATATTATTGCAATTTTGCGCTAATTGATGTTTCTGTCATTGCAAACAAACCTTAAAGATTTTTGACTCTGCTATTAAAACGTGTTTTTAAAATAATTTTGTAAGACGTAAAGTAAAATATTTAAAAAATATATTATACTATTAGTTATGTACCAATCTCTATCGTTAATTTGCAGCGTGTAAAGAGGGATTAAAGTTTTCGGATGCCGGTTTTTAATGCGGTACTTTATTTCAATTTCACTATGACTCGTGCCACGTTCGATAGACCATGAAATTAAACATTTTTAGCGAGATAATAAAACTTGGTCCCCATCACTTTGTACAAAACCCATCACACATCATAAGAACTCAGATCCAACACGGTGGCAATATTGTATTTTATATTGTTGACAATGCTTCAGTAATAAAGTTAAAAACATAAAATGTTTTATATATGGTATAACCAAGCAGCTCAAGTATAGGCACAAATGCACTCTCACGCTCACCTACCTAGAACTGGGTGTCCCAAAACGCAACATCAAAAATGATGATACTAATAAAATATTGTTGATAGATAAATAATGGTTCCCATATTTTAGGCTGCGTATAGATTACAAAACAAAGTGATAAATAAGTGCAAAGCTTACACTGTGCTAAATTTGCTGAGCCATCAAGCGTCGTCATAAGTCTTTGTCACTTGAAAGATCTAAGCGTTCAATAGCTGTATATAAATAACGATCATAATTATCTAAAGTACTTATATTGTTATTTTAAACTATTTCTGGAAATATGCATTTTTTCGGGAATGTCCAATAAGCTTTATAATTTGTCTTTACCTATAAAATTGCCGTTCTGCAGTACTGGCCATCAAATCAAATCATCATCAAATAAAAATAATTTTTGTTTTACTAAGGATTCTAATTTCATATTAATTTTATTATAAGAACGTTGAATTCTTTTTTCAAAATTAGTAATTTATTTATTGATTTGCGTTATGTTTTCATCTCATTTGCATCTTTTTCATCATCATAGATTACGGATGGAATATGAGTAAAGCAACGCGGCACAAGCGGCACGCAATATCAACAACTTTTACAGAGCGAATACTACAAATAAACACACTACCTTGGTTTTCATGCTTTCGTTCTCGAAATTTTGACTTGAACAACGAACCTCGTGCCCATACGAAAACTTTGGTCGAAAATGACGAATTAAAAGCTGTTGTGGAAGCTGATACTTTTGTTAGGGATTGTAGAGACGTGCCTTGCACTGCTCTATAGGCACACAAACGAAGGAATTTTGAATCGCATTGTTAAATGCGAAGAAAAACGGATTCTATTTAGCAATTCCAAGCGCTCAGTAAGTTGGTTGGATTCTGTTTCAGCAACTAAACAATGCTCTGCTCTAAACGAAAACTTGCCCCTAGAAAAGTGATGGTCGCTGTTTGCTAGTCTAGCGCTGGTGTGATTCAACACAGCTTCTTACCAAACGGGTTAAGCATTACTGCAGATGTGTACTGTGAAGAACTGAACACAATAATGGAAAAGCTCGCACGTTTCCAACCAGCTTAGGTCCATCGCCCGTCCCCGCTGCTGCTGCACGACAACGCGCCACCTCATGCTGCACAATAAACTGTCTCCAAGTTACAAAAGCTGGGGTTGGAAACTCTCCGCCATTCGCCGTACTCACAAGTCCTTGCTCCAGACTTACAGTACTATGTACAGACTTCTACTATTTTCCGGAATTTGGATACATTTTTGCCCGGAAAAAAATTAGTACCCGAAGGCAGTAAGGTCCAGCAGATTTATTCAAGAAGGGCTCGTGCCCTAAATTATTAAGTATAAACTGCCACTGCGTTGGCAAAAATGTATCGATTGCATGGGTGATTACTTTAATTAATAGAAAAAAAAATACATTAACTTATTTCATTAAAAACGGCAATTTCATAGGTAAAGATCTAAAATTAGATCTTATACACGGTTTTGAAATAGTTGCCCATACTCACTTTGCCGGTCAAGTGAGTCTGTTCAACTAAGACTTACAGTACTATGTACGAGTTAGAGTTTGGAGAAAAAGTTGCAAAACATAATAAAAAATATAAAATTTACATCTCTTTAATATTTCGAATACTCATCCTTATTGCCCCGTAACGGTCGTAGCTTTCCGATTGACGGCAATATAACCATCTTGTAATGTCAGACATAAAAACCCAGACCGGCGACGGGATGTCACAATGGTATAGATCCGTTGAATTTAACAAGCTTATGATAAAAAAGAAGATGAATTCTAGATAATTACACTACTATATTATAACGACTGTCTTGCGAGGTTTTATAAGAGATGATTAGAGTCAATACCCCTAAGTCAAGAGGTGACTTAGGGGTATTCCTCTAATCCTAATCCTACTAGTATGTTACTAGTATATTGATGCCTGTAATCGTACTTAATATGGAAAATTTTGTTACATATTTTTCTGAGAATAAAGATTTTATTATTATTTATTATTACTTAGGAGTATTCCTTAAATCGTCTCTTATTGGATGATTGATTATCAAAGCTAGTGCGCGGTGGTTTTATGATTAGCGGTAGACAAACTGTGACATATGACGTTATGACCGCTTCGATTTTTCCATAAAAAAAGCTAATACTTACCATTGTATAGAACGCCGATGCGTAGCAACCGCGACGAAGGCTTCTCCAGCAACAACAGGATTGTATAATGGGCATGTTGGGTATTGTTTCTGTAAACAAATTTATGACGTTTAGTATAAATGGAAATGTCTTTAAATAATGATAATTGACGACGAAAATTATACATAATTTTGAAATGAAATTTTATTTCAATCGTCGTTTTTTTACGCTACACGAGCACATAATTCACTTAATGGTAAGTGGATGCTGTGACCCATAAACACCTGTTCCCGACTAATCATTGAAATGCAAATGCGTTGTTACCTCCGAGAACGGAAACAGGATAACCCGGCGCCAGGTAAAACGGCCCCCGGTTCACTTAACGAAATATGCGAAACACAGCAGCATTATGCTATTTTACGATATTATTTTGTAAGCGGCTTAAGTTCAGCAGTGGATTTGTGAGGCTGTAATGATGATGATGATGATTCTGCAAGTGAGTGTTACTTACTCGGTTAAGCCGACAATATGGCTCTACCATGTAAAATCTGTTTTCGAAATATTTTTACGCAATTTAAACCGTTAGAAACATAAAACGAGTAACATATATTTAAAAGCATATTAATAATGCTATAAATATTACTAAAATTGCCCTTAACCACTCGTGGTAAGAGCTTAAATTGATTGTGTTACGAGTGGTTCACGCCAGTAGTCGAATAGCAGATCGAACCCACGACCTTTTTGAGTTTGCAGTCCGCGCCCTGCCATTAGGCTACTGTCGCTTATAAATATTATGTACATAATATATTGGCTTTTTTTCTAAAATTATGATAGCAGGTAGAGGCAAAAGTATAGGCCAAAGAACGTACTAAACTTATTCAATTTTCATAAAAGTCATATTTCATGACACAGGAAAAGAAAGAATCAGGAAGAGGAAAATCTCTTTCCTATAACTTTTCTTCGAGGAAATAAGTTGTATAATATAAGAAAACATAAATTACTAAAATAATATTATTTACTTATAGTAAGTAAGTAGTAAGTCGAAGTTTTTTTTAATTCTGAAAGAAGATCTAGTTTTTTACATTGAAGTAAAATGTACCGACGTACTAGAGCAGAACAAAAAATGTGCGCTACTTTGTGTTCGCGCGGTTGGTTTTTTATCATAGAATAAACATAGGTAGATAGTAGATTGTATTGTTAAATAGGTAAATTATATCGTGAACAATATTTAAATTTTGTCATTTATTTTGTATATTATATTTACTTATTTAATATAATACATAATATTATATCACAATTACATTTTAATGATATTTTTATCTGAATGTTTTAGATACCTTATCTATGTCAAATATAAAAAACATACTAAATGTATATTTAACAAAACTTAATAACATAACATTTAAATTACAAATATATTTATTTAAATTAGAATAAGAGTCGTTCCGAACATAGGCCTCCCCCAAGTAACGCCACAAATCACGGTCCTGAGTCACCTGCATCCATCGATTTCCTACATATCTTACCAAGTCGTCACTCCATCTAGTGGGGGGTTGCCCTACACTACGCCTACCGGTACGAGGCTGCCATTCGAGAACCCTTCCTCCCCATCGGTTTATCGGTTCTTCGAGGTATATGGCCGGCCCATTACCACTTCGGCTTACTAATCCGTTGGGCTATGTCGGTCACTCTGGTTTTACTGCGGATATCCTCATTTCTGAGTCTATCACGCAGAGAAACTCCGAGCATAGCCCTCTCCATAGCTCGCTGAGCGACCTTCAGCGTCCTCATACGGCCAGCAGTGAAGGACCACGTCTCTGATCCGTAAGTCATCACTGGCAACACGCACTGGTTGTACACTTTAGTTTAGAGATTGAGGTATACCTGACGAGAAGATTTGTCGTAATTTCCCGAACGCTGTCCAGCCGAGTTGAATCCGTCGATCGACCTCTCGGTCGAAGTTGGACTTACCTAGTCGGACTATTTGTCCCAGGTAAACGTACTCGTCAACAACTTCGAGCATAGTGCTCCCCACAACTACCGGCGTAAGTGTGACATGGACATTGAACATAATCTTTGTTTTGTCCATGTTCATTTTAAGACCTTTCCGTTGGAAGACACCATTAAGGTCATTGAGCATAGTGCTTAGGTCCTCCAGCTATCCTGCCATAAGAACTATATCGTCGGCAAATCGAAGGTGAGTGATGTACTCGCCATTGATGTTAATACCGTATCCTTTCCAGTCCAGTAGCTTGAAAACGTCTTCCAACGCAGCGGTGAAGAGTTTCGGGGATATAATATCACCCTGTCTTACACCTCTCTGCAGTTGGATAGGTTTCGAATTCTGGTTCTGTACTCGGATATCCATCGTAGCCCTACTGTACAAACACTTCAGCACCTCGATATACCGACAGTCAACTTGGCACCGCTGAAGGGACTGTAGCACCGCCCAAATTTCGACGGAATCAAAGGCTTTCTCGTAATCTACATAAGCCAGGCAAAGTGGCAGATTGTACTCTTCGGTTTTCTGTACAATCTGCTGCAGGGTATGTTTGTGGTCTATGGTACTGAAGCCTTTTCGGAAACCGGCTTGTTCGGGAGGCTGGAAGTCGTCGAGTCTGCGTGCGAGAGGATTCGTAATGACTCTCGAAAATAGCATGTAGACGCGGCTCAGAAGGGAAATCGGTCTGTAGTTCTTCAAGAGAGCGTTGTTGCCTTTCTTAAAGAACAAGACCACCGCGCTTCTGCTCCACGCCTCCGGAGTAGTGCCACCATGGAGGACGGAATTGAAGAGCTTCTGAAGGACTTCAAGTACCGGTGTTCCACCCGCTTTCAGAAGCTCCGCTGTAATTCCATCCTCGCCCGGGGCCTTGCCGTTTTTAAGGTGGTGGAGAGCCATTCTAATCTCGCCTAGACTGACGTCCGGGATATCATCGGAATAGTGTCGGATAAGACTTGCTTTTGGATCGTTACTCACACTTGCGTGTGGCTCCAACGATGATGTGTACAGCTGCCCATAGAACCTCTCAATCTCACTCAGAATCTCAGGTGTCCCGGAAACGATGTTGCCACACTCAGTCTTCAGCTTTGACAGTTGGCTCTTTCTGGTAGACAGATCTCTGGCAAAGACTTTGGTGCCCTGGTTCCGCTCGATCGCTTCTTTAATACGAGCAGCACTCTAATACGTATCAAAGTTGCGTAAGTCTCGCCGCATGCATTTGGAGATCTGTCTGTTCAGTTGCCTGTATGCTGTCAAATCTGTTGACGATTGCAGCCTGATCTTTCGTCTAACAGCCATGAGATTAAGAGTGTGATCGGAGAGTTTTTATGTTCTTCTGCGGCGGGTCTTGCAGAACTTAGCTCCGACCGCATAGACAGTTTCCACGAGCTTGTCATTCATACCGTCCACTGCATTGCAATCTTCTAGGCACTGAAAGCGGTTACGTAACTCGAGCTGAAAGTTTTCGGGATTCTGGATTAGAGCACGAGGGGGACGGAGCGTTGATTTCATTAGACGAGACCTCTCCAACTTAACGTTTAGGTTCAATGTACCTCTAACCATTCGGTGATCGCTGCCAGTTTTCACCCTTACGATCACTGAGACATCACTGAACAGTTGGCGTCTGGACGTCATGATGAAGTCAATCTCATTTTTTGTCGAACCGTCGGGGCTCGACCAGGTCCACTTCCTGTGAGGCCGCTTCTGGAAGAAAGAGTTCATCATAAAGAGTCCCTCTTTCTACATAAAGTAGGCCAGCTGCTGGCCCCTTCGGTTCCGTTGCCCTACTCCAAATTTCCCTACCTTCAGTTCACCGTTTTCTCTTGTGCCTAGTTTTGCGTTGAAGTCTCCCATCAACACCGTGTAGTGGGTTTTGGAGGAATGCATGGCTTTGGAAATATCCTCATACATTTCCTCCACCTCTTCATCGGAATGTGGCGAGGTTGGTGCGTAAGCCTGTATGACCTTCAGCGAATACCGTTTGGTGATTCTGAGTATCAGGTACGCGACCCTCGTCGACACACTCCCAATCTTTATAACGTTGTTGACGAGAGACTTGTGGTCGATAAATCCGACACCTCCTTGGGACAGATGTTCGCCCTCCCCGTGATAGAATAAGTTGCCGGACTCGAGGATTGCCGTGTCCTCCCCCTCTCTTCAGACCTCGGATAATCCAATAATATGCCAGCGTAACTTGTCTACCTCTTCTTCCTGCTCCAGTATCTTCTCGTCAGTCCTCAGGGTGCGTGCGTTATATGTTGCCAGGTCAAGTCGTCGTAGGTGGCAACCGAATCTCCACCGGAGATTCTTAGCAACCCCTGCCCCGCCGTTACCATGGTCGCCACTGGGGACTGGGGGCCGTCTGTTTGCGTCGTTATTCACGGGGGAGGATATTTGCCATAGTTGCCACGCTTGGCGAGCGGGTTGGCAACCGCAGTTTTTATTATATCACAGTTGTTATCAGGAAGATGCTGCTGCCCATCTCCTGCCTATCTCCCTCTGTCGCCTCTTACGACACCCACGGGAAGATATGGGGTAGTGGATATTCGCAACCACCACTACACGGCCTATGTTCAGCAGTGGACTTGTGAAGGGCTGTAATTTTGATGAATAATGATGAAGAGTCGTTCATAAATTCTGGGCACGCGAGAGTTAAAAATGGACGAATTTATTCCACTTTGACCTTGAAGTCGAAACCTAAAAATAAAATAAAAGAATAATAAGCAGATATAAATATGAAAAATTTAGCCTAATTATAACAACTTATTTAAGTTTCTACAAAAAAATGTGTATAATAATATATTCGTCCTATACTTAAGTACCCGCAGAAATGTCGCATCTGAACATATTAATTTCATAATCTATAATCTATGACACGAAATGGCGTCTTAGGAATAATTTGTTTTATTATTAATCTATAATTGTTTTTATTCATTAAGTATTTTATTAACCGACGAAAAGTAATTCCTTGGTTTTTACTGACATTTCTTGAATTATTTGTGCAATATCTAAGTACACACGACGGCATATTTTTATCAAGAAATTTTTTTTAAATCAACATAACACGTGACAACTCTACAAGCGCCTAGCGAGTGAC